CCCATCAACTGATGAATGGCTAAGTACAATGTGGTGTATCAATACAATGAAACATTATTCAGCCATAAAAAGGAATGAAGGATTGACACATGCTACAGCGTGAATGAATTGTGAAATCATTATGCTAAGTGAAAGAAGCCAGTCACAAAAGACCACATATTGTATGATTTCATTTATATGAAGTATCTAGAACAGGCAAATCTATAGAAATAGAAAGTAGGTTAGTGGCAGCCTACGGCTGAGAGGCTGGAGAAGGATGGAGGATGACGGCTAAAGGGTACAAGATTTCTTTTGGGGATGATGAAAATATTCTAAAATTGACTGTGGTGATAGTTGCACGACTGTGAACATACTAAAAAACACTGAACTTAAACAAGTGAATAGTGTGGTATGTAAATTATATCTCACTAAATCTGTTTTTTAAAAACAGCATTAATCCTCACTTGCTTATTCTGGGTAGTATTGGGTCGTTGCTTTCTTACATTTCATGCTTTCCATTCTTTTCCTCTTTCCGTACTTTTACCCCACTCATCTTTCTGGATTTATGTCTCTTATCTCTGATCTTCTCCCTCTCTTTTTCTCTTTCTCCTCCCTCTCTTAGCTCCCCTCCACTTCATTTCTCTCTCCTCAAGAATCCAGAAAATTCTCAGAAGTGCTGCCTCTGCAGATTTGCTCATGCAGAGATCCTGTAAGTCACCGAGCTAGTGGCTTTCCACTGAGCCAGTGAACTTCACAGTTTTCCCCTTGTCACAGTTATGAGTTACCTAAGTATATTTTTGCACATCACATAGTCTATGTCTTCAAAGGAAAAACAAAGCAGGGGGTGGAGTCGGGGGGAGCCCCCTAAGGCAGATGGAGCCTCTGGCCAAGTTGATTCCCTGGGAAGTGGAACAGTTTAGGAAACAGACTTTTCTGAAATCTCTTACCCAGCTACACTATCCTCTAAAGGGGACCAACTAGAGTAAGGCAAATAACGACAGAGTGGAGACCTGACAAAAACAGGAAGAATGAGTTCCCCAAGGGTGGAAGTTTGCATTTTCCAAAAATGGCTACAGCAATAGTTCTGATCCCGCATGCTCGTCCAAATTCTTGGACAATCCTCTGACAAAAGACAGAGTCTGATTCCCCTCCCTTTGAATATTGCTTAGCCTCAGAATCTTTCTTCTAATGAACTGAATCCAGAGGAAGTAATGCTGTTGGATTCCTGATGCTAGGGTTAGAAAAGGTGAGAAGGCTTCCAACTCTCTCTCTCTCTCTCCCTTGGAACCCAGCCTCCTGTCATGAGGAAGCCCAGGCCTCACGGAGAGGCCACATGCGTGTTTCAGCCAACAACGAACTGAGGTCTCAGCCCACAGCCAGCATGGATTGCTACACAAGTAAAGGGGGGAGGGAGGGAGGAGGGAGCCTGCACCTGATTTCAGTTCCCAGCATCCACACCCAACCAGATGACAAGTGGAGGAGGGACGAGCTATCCCCACAAAGTCCTCCTCAAATTGCAGATTCCTGATGTATTAGTGATCTATTACTGCATAACAAATTACCCCGTAACTTTGTGGCTTGAAACTTTTATTTTCCCACAGCGTCTGTAGATCAGGAATTGGGCATGGCTTGGCTGGGTTCTCTGTGTCAGTCTCTCAAGAGCTGTAATCAAGGTGTCGGCTGAGACTTTAATCATCTCCAGGTGCCACTGGGGAGTCTCTACATCCAACCTCATTCACAGGGTTGCTGGCAAGGCTCGGTTCCTTAAAGCCTGTTGAATGATCGCCTTCAGTTCCTTGTCATGTAGGTCTCACGTCACATGGTGGCTTACTTCACTCAGGCCAAGAAGGCAACCTAGTGAAAATAGAGCAAGACGGAAATCACCGTCTTACCACCTAATCACACAAGCGACAGCCCATCACTCTTGCCATATTCTGTTTATTAGAAGCAAGTCACTAGGACCAGCCACATAAGGGGAGAGGATTACACAGGGGAGAGAATACCAGGAGCCGTATCAGAAAAGCCTTTCACGCTGAGCAAAATTAATGTCTTGTTATTTTAATCCACTAAGCCTTGGAGTGGCTTGTTATGCAGTGTTAGATAACTAGCAAACACCAAAACACAGGGAGAGGGGTGGGCTGTGTAGGAAAACTGGATTTATTGAACATTCACCATGTACCAGGATCATTTGGCAGAATTTAAACTTAGAGAGGTTTAGGGACTTGCCAAAGCTATTAGTGGCAGAATGAGGATGAAACAAATTCTATCCGATTCCACAGCCCACAACCTTTTCACTTTTCCACTCTACTTCCTGTTCTTTGAAGAGAAACAATCCCAAGCCATTTGAATATCAAATAGGGTTTTACTAATGGCTTTTATGTTTTCCAAATTCCCAAATTTAACCAGCAGAGATTATTTCTAGGTATACTTCCCCTCCCCCACCTCTTCAACTCTCAGTTATGAAGGACTTTCCTCTTAATCTGTATTTTCCTCCAATTCTGTATCTTATAAAGCTGGAAGGACCAGCCCACCATGCTTAGCTGGATTTTCCTCCATAAAAACAAGCTTTCTGGAATACTGTTCCTTGCCCATGGTGAGGACATAGATTCCAGGAAGTTGGTTTCAAATGCTAAAAAAAGAACATGAGGCAGACATCTGCTTGAACAGAGAAGAATGTAAAATCCAACTGCTCCTACTGCTGGTGTCTCTGTCAGAACCCACAACCTCCACCAGTCCCTCAAGAGGCAGTTCAGGCTGAACACATAAAAACTTCATGCTGATTGAGTCAAGGATCCAGGATAGGAGGGAGGCTGACTTTTCACTGTAAATCTTTCTGCACAGTATTTAAATATATATATATATTTAAAATCTGTTTAAAAACTAATCTCAGGTAAGAGATTTCTATTAAGGAAAACTGAGGCATCTGTCAGGATGGATTCAGTAATCACTATACCCTCCCAGGGGCTGACTCTGTGCTGCCCCACATGTGGTTAGGACTGTGCTCTAAGCATCCAAGGTGAGCTCAGGCCTGGGAACTCAGGGCAGACAGAAAGAGCATAGAGATGCTCTCCTTAGGGCATCCTGCCGGCTAGGGAGACAAGGAAGGTTTTTCCAAAAGCAGCAGATAATTCAAAGCCAAACCCTGGATGCTCAAGGGTTGAATGATGATCTGAAAGATGAGTCGAATCAAAGAATGACTCCACTTTTCTGCCATCTAAGTCATAATGATGTTAATGAGAATTACTATTATGAGTGCTTAGTTTGTTAACATTTAAATTAGTGATACGATTGGAATTAAGTCTACCATTTTATTATTTGTTATCTGTTTCTTGTTTTTTTGTTCCTCTGTTCCCCTCTCCTTCCTAATTTAGACTATTTAAATATATTTTAGAATTCTTTAATGTACATATTGGCCTTTTAACTAGCACTATTTGCATCATTTTTTAAAGGTTACACTAGGGATTATGCTACACCCTTGATATTTCACGAAGTTAATATTGTACCATTTCATAGAAAATATAGAATATTTACAGTTGTAGTGTCCCATTTATCCCTAATACTACTCTACTCACAGTACTCTTTATGCTGTAATTGCCATGTGTATTACACCTATATCTGCAAGAAATATTATAATTTCTTTTTAAAATAGTCATATGTATTTTAAAGAAATTGAGAGGAAAAAAGTAGTTTTATATATTACCCAGATATTTACCATTGCTAATGTTCTTTATTCCTTCCAGGCGGTTCAAATTTCCCTCTGGTATAACTTCCTTTCAGCCTGAAGAAATTGCTTTGCTTTTCTTCCAGTGAAGTTCTGCAGGCAATGTAAAAGAATATTTACTTTGCCTTCTTTTTCGAAGAATAAATTTACTGGATATAGAATTCTAAACTGATAACTCTTTCTCTTGACCCTTTAAAGATGTTGTTCCACTGTTTTCTAGCCTCTATGTTTTCTCTTAAGAACTTGGTGAATGTTAAAATTATTGTTGTCCAGTATGTCATGTGCTGTTTTTCTCTGGCTGCTTTCAAATATTCTCTTTATGTCTAGTTTACAGTGTTTTGACTATAATGAACCTAGATGTGATTTTCCTTGCCTTTATCTTACTTTTTATACTCTAGGTTTCTTGAATCTGTACATATTTATGTCTTTCACTAAATTTAGAAAAATATCAGTCATTTCTTTGAATTTTTTTTTTTTTTTTTTTGCCGTACGCGGGCCTCTCACTGTTGTGGCCTCTCCCCTTGCAGAGCACAGGCTCCGGACATGCAGGCTCAGCAGCCATGGATCACGGGCCCAGCCGCTCCGCGGCATGCGGGATCCTCCCAGACCGGGGCACCAACCCGCATCCCCTGCATCAGCAGGCGGACTCTCAACCACTGCGCCACCAGGGAAGCCCAACTTTGAATATTTTTTCTGATCCATTCTTTCTTTCCTCTTCCTCTGAGACTTCAATTATATTTATATGAGAACTTTTGATATTGTTCTACAGGTGGTAGAGGCTTTATTCATTTTTTAAAATCTTTTTTTCTCTTTTTCTTCAGATTGGATAATTTCTATTGATGTACCTTTACATTCACTGATTTTTTTTTTCCTGTCATCCCCTTTTGATACTAATCCTGAGAGTCAGGCTTTTCACTATTGGAGAAAGAAGTTACAAATAAGCAAGAGAGGAAGGCTAGAATGAACCCCCGTTGCATTGGATTAGTGTTGGAGATCAGTGGAAGCTCATTTATTATGATGATGAGAAAGAGGGAGAGAGAGAGAGAGAGAAATAGATGGGTTCACATGAGTTAGTGTACATACATATATTCCTAACTCTATTCATTGAGAGGATTTGGAAACAATGACACTCCCATAGCAATGAGCACACCTAGTGCCCAGATCTTGGTTTCTAAATATCATTCTCTAATGAAAGGAACAGGGGTCCTTGGAGAAATGGTTGATCCCAGGGCTAGGGCAGAGGAAACAAAAGAGGAATTTTGAGCATCTTGTGATATCAAAAATTAAGGAAGTGCTCAAAAATAATTATGGGGGCTTACCAAAGGACACAAGCCACTGTGAAAGGGCTCCTAATACATTACTATTGAATTATATCCCAAATGATATAATAAATATTTATTGTTCCATACTGATATAAATTAATTGTTGACTAAATAAGTAAATGGGGTGGGGGATGAGACAACTCCTCCTTCATAAGAATTCCAACTAATCAATGTAGAACAAAAGAAGGAAATAGAAAACCACCATGAGAACATCACAGTAACAATGGTTGAAGGCAAGATTCACCAATGAATGCTAAAAGTTGTGGGTGAAGGTCTAAGACAAAACAGAGTATAGTTTCAAAATATCTTCCTCAAATATTTATTAATTCCTGTGGTGGAATATGTTCACAAATTCTTAGATACTTCTCCCTCCAGGAAGGAGACTTTAATTTTTCTCTCTGTGAGTGTGGGCTGGATTTAGACCTTCATCTAACAAATAGAGTATAAAAAGAAAAAAATACTAACTGTATAGTGGAGACACCTGGCAGGCACCCCCGAACCAATTGCTCAAGGTTAACATCACCAGTAGTAAGACATTGACACCACGTACCCTCTGATATGATGTAATGAGGACAAGTCACCTCGGTAGTATTCCTCCCCAAGATCATCACTTTAATTGTGAGAAAGCATTAGACTAGTCCAGATTGCAGGATATTCTGCAAAATATCAGACCAGTATTCCTAAAAAGTGTCAAGGTTATGAAAGGCAAGGAAAAAGTAGGGAGCTATTACAGATCGGAGGTAACTAAGGTAAATGTGAAGATTAATGCAACGTGGTGTCTTGAATTGGATCCTAGAACAGAAAAAGGACATTAATAGAAAAACTGAGATAAACCTTCCCTTTAAAATGCAAACCTTCTTGAGCATCGGGACAGAGTTATTCAACTCCCAAGGGCTTAATATAAAGCTTTCAACACTGATTTCTTGACGTGTTCAAGTCAGACATAACAGTAATAATAACAGCAGCCATTTATTACATCTTCATGTAGGCCAGATACTCAGCTCAGAATTCTACATACAATGTGTCATTTAATCCTCCCAATAACATCATCAACTCCATTTTACAGGTGAGATGTTGGACACAGAGAATTACAGTAATTTGCCCAAGGTCACACAGCTGGTCATTGCAGGAGCCAAGAACTGAACCCAGGGAGTTTGACTTCAGCACTCAGACTCTTTAACTACTATGCACGGTCTCTGGGAGTGTTTACTAAATTATTGTCTTGAGGAATTAGGAAACCCCATTACAAGAATACTTTGAATCATCCAAAATGAAAACCAAAAAATACTGGGGGAGGAAATGTTTATATAATTCTCTCTGAAGCAGCAAAATCTATACCCTTGTTTTCCAAGCTTTAGTCATCCTCCAGCTACCTCCTTGATTTCTGCCGTGGCTGATATAACCTGCGCTCTCAGTCACTTAATACCTTTTAAATCGACTCAATTGTTTTTGCTTAAGTAAATTATTTAAAAAGGAAAGTGATCTCATGTCACTATTGTAAATGAAAAAGCAGTGTCCTTTACCTTAATTAAATGGTAACCTAAAAATAAAAACCATAGAAACAAAACAATGTCAATAGATTACATTTAGATGTTGGTGCCTGCCAAGGGCCTGAGCCTGAGTGAGTTCTGTTCTCTCTTTGCTAAAACAGGGAAAATGTAGCAAAGGTTGGAAAGCTATCCATGACAGACCAGCACCAAAAGGCAAGCAGAAGAATTATCAAAAAACTGAAAATAGTAGTCTTCTTTGTAATTTTGGGATTCGGTGACAGAAACTCCACAGGAACCGTGGCTTAAACAAAGTAGAAACTATTTCTATCTCACACAAAAGTCCACAGGTAGGAGGACTGGCTGGTATGACACCCCACAGTGCTGTGAGGAGGAGGCACCTATCTTGTGGTCCCATTAGTACAGCTTACATGGTCACTTCAAAGCCCAAGATTGCTGCTCCAACACCAGCCAACACTTCTGCTCTCCAGGGAACAAAAGAAGAAAAAAGGAAGAACAAGGAACACCTCTTCTCTATGAGAACACTTCTCCACTTTGGCTTGCATCTCATTGGCTAGAACTTATTCACATAGCCAGGGAGACAGGGAAATGTAGTTTTTATGTTGGGCAGCCAAGTGCCTAGCTTAAAAAAAGGAAGGGGGGATTCTGTTATTAGAGGAAAACGGATAGACAGTAGCAATCTCTGTGATTTTACAATTCTCCATGCCCCACTCATCTTCTTCCAAGATTCACCTTAGGTGAACCACCTAAGTCATTCCAAGCCCAGGCCTTGAGCTGACCTTTCCACCTGCCTCTGAAGTTGGCCTTGACTTTGTAGCTCCTCTGCACACCTTCAGAGCTAAGGAAAGCACTTCTCTCTCCCTACTAAGGTTACATCTTGTTATTAGGCCCCTTAAACCTGCCCTGGCCCCTGAGTCCATCTCTTACAGGGCCCCCCGTGCTAAGTGGACTGTGGAGTGGCACAGCACTGCTATAGAGGAGGGAGCACTGCTTGGGGAGGCATCAGACCTGGGTGGGCTTTCCAACTCTGCCCCTTTACTATAAGATGTGAAACTCCTCAAACTTCAAGAAAGAGTTATCAGAGCCCATAACTCAATCTGGGGCCATGGATTCTTCCATCCCATGGCCGGGACCTCTGTCTTTGGCATGGCGGTGTCGGGTTCAATGAGGAAGAATCTCTGAGAGTGAACCAGTGATGGCCAGCACTCCATTACTTGCGTGTTAGACTTGAAATAGAAAGAACTGATGCTAAAATAATTCAATCTCCCCCGTGGTTTGGGGTGGGTGGACAGAGGGTTGCCATTTCCTGTTGCCACATATAAATAAGATCTGGTCACCCTGTGGGAAGTAGCCTATTTCCACATAGGATGAGGGTCGCCAGCCCCCTGAGCTGCCCCTGCTCACCTGGCCAGCCACCTGGTCACCCTCTCCTCCAGCCGTGCTCCCTCCACCCTACAGCACAAAGAATCAGAGTAACTCATCCAAGGCCCCTCAGTCAAGTGGCAGAGGCAGCCCTCAGACCCAGGTAGTCTGGCTCCTAAACGCCATGTTTCCTTACGTCAGGCTGAAGTTGGGCCACTACCCAGACCAAAGGCTCAGATGTATGATGCAGTGTTGAGGACAGGACTCTGGGACAGAAGCTTGGCCTGGGGGAAGGGTAGAATTTTCCACATTGTGCTTTAGAGTTTTCCACCTAAGTGCCTGGAAGAAGGGAGGACGGTGCTGGGAGCAAAGGCTCAACCGTGGGACAGGTGAACCATTTGGAGTGGGAGGGAGCCTTCATGCCCTCTTCCCCTGGGGAGGCCTAAGTAGCTTTTTTCATTAATTGATCGATTCTATTGGAAAACATACCAAACGTACAGACAAGGATAGAAAAGAAAAATGTACCTACTACCTGGCTTTATCACACTTAATGCTGAGCCATCTTTCCTCCAGATTTTCACTTTTAAGAAATGGAACAACAGATGAGCTGAAGTTTCCTGCGTATCATTCCCCTTTCCCCAGCAGAAACCACTATCGTGAAACTGGTGTTATCATTCCCATGAGCTTTTAATACTTTGATACTTTTAATACACATGTCTGCATCCATACACATCTTACAGTGCTGATTTTCATGTCCTGAAACTTTTTCCCAATGGAATCACACTGGACATTCCTTGTGCACTTGTTTTTTCCACTCAACATTTTGCCTTTGTTTGTATCTGTGTTGATACATGTGAACTGCAGTTCATTTATTTTAACTTCTATATAAATAGGACACAATTTCAAAATTTTATTTTCTGGTTGTTTTGTATTTTTTAATGTTAGAAATGACCTTGTAAGAAGATTCTTGTACCAGCGAGGCTCCCACACTCCTCTGCACTACTAGACTTAGAAGTGGGATGCCTGAGTCATGGGGCAGGAGCATCTTCAATTCTTCAGACTGTTGCCAAACTTCTTTCCAAAGTGGTTCTACCGATTCATACTCCCACCTGTAGAACTTTGAACTCTCCACATAGTTGCCTACACTTGGTATTATCAGCCTTTAAGTTTTTGCCAAGCAAAACGAAACGGTGTCTCTCTGAGATTTTAATTTGCATTTTCCTTTATTAGCAGTGAGACTGAGCATCTTTTCATGGCTTTATTTTATGGGCCTGAGTCTTTAGGTGTCTCCCGCAGTGAGATTCAAGGGGAAGTGCAGATTAGCCAGAACTCAGATCTTAGTCCGGGAGCTCATCAATTCCAGAAGCTCTCCTAACTCCTGGGTAAGAAATTCACTGTTGCCTGAATAGACTGGAGGAGTTGATCTCGTGGAGGCTGAGGGGAGAGAGTAACAGGGGGGAAGAGGCCTGTTCTACCCTATCCATCCACCGAACAATTGGAGTCTGGCACAGCGCCCCTGGTGGTGACCTGTGGCATGACTGCTGCAAGGCCGGTCCTGGATGGCAGGAGCCCTCTTCCCTGCAGAAGCCTCTGGAGAGGATGTGAGCAAGAGAAAAGGTAAGATTAAGAGACAACTGCCCTCTTGGGCCAAAACCACAGGAAAATTCTGTCTGACATATTTTAAGAAAACTCTATCGAAATATAACCGATAGATAGAACAGTACACAAATTGTAAGAACCCAGCCCAGTTGAATTTTCACGAAGTGAACATACTTATGTAACCACCACCCAGATCTAGAGCAGAATATTACCAACACCCCAAAAGTTCCTCTCATCTCCCCTCCCAGTCACTACTCCCCCACCTCAAAGGCAAGTTCACATTTTTTTTTTAATATATTATCTTGGCTGTTGAAGAGTATGAGAGCAGAAGTTCTCTGGATCTTTCCCTTGACTCTCATGAGGGAAGTTACCTGAAGTCTTAGGTCATCACAATACCATGTGAAGGTTTAAGTATTTGAGCACATAGACCCAAACTATAGCAAGGTCTCTGAGGCCCCTTGCTTGGCCAGGCTTGGTTTATTGGATGGACAGAGGGAGGGCGTAGGGTGCGGGGGGCAGGGGGTGGGGGTTGGGGGGTGGAGCTCTGGTGTGGGGAGTGGCGAAGGAGAGTGATTATTTACTAACTGGAAGGAAAGTATTCTGATATATTACTGCCCAGCACAGACTTGCTCATGTGCAGCGGAGTGTCAGCAGAGTTGCAAGTGAGAGACACAAACCTGTTACAAGGCTCTTGCAGTGCAGGCAAGAGCAGGTGGTGGCTTGGTTTGGCTGTGGAGATAGAAAGAAGTGGATTGTCAGCATATTTTAAGTATATTTGGGTGGAAGAAGTTACAGGACCTGCTGTTGGATTGGAGGAGGGCGTGAGGGTGAAGGAGGTGTGAAGAACAATGAGGGCATCTGGGCAGACACCGATGCCATTTACCAAGATAGGGTCTCCCAAAGCAGGAGCTGGGTTAGGGTAGAAATCATGAGTTCTGTTTTGGACACGTTAAATCTGAGATGCTTCTGAGACCTGCATGTGGAAATGTCAAGCAGAGAATTAGAAATGAGACTTTAGAGCTGAAAGAGAGGTCTAGATTGAAGATTTAAGCCTGGGAATCTTTGGCCTACGGAGGCTATTTAAGCCCATGGTGTCAATGAGATTTCTAAAGAGACAGAACCAAAAAGGACTAACCAGTTATAGTTACACAGCCTTTAAGTGTGTTAATGATATCAAGGCTATGTTTTTAAAGGGGTCCTTGTCTTTTAAATATACTGAAATGTTTACATATAAAATAATATGAAGTGTGGAATTTGCCTAAAAATAAACCAGGGGAGAGGAGTTAATATTTACGAATGTTATGAATATTTAGACCATAATTTGGTAAGTGTTGAGAATGGGTGAGTACATAGGGGTTCATTAGACTATTCTTTCTACTTTTAATGTATGTTTGAAATGTTCTATACTAAAAGGATTTAAAGGAAAACAAGGACGCAACACAGAGCCCAGAAGACCTCTAGCCTTTAGTGGTCAGATGGAGGAGGTAGGAAAACCTGCAAAGGGAAAAGAAGTGGCCGGAGGGGCAGCGAAGGAGGATGACCAGCAGATCAGGGTCTCTGAACAAGAGAAAGGGGCTGACGAAGGAGTGAGATGGTAACTGGCCTGTTAGGGACTCAGAGGGCAAGGCCGATGAATGTTTAATTGCACCCAATGGATCTGGCAACGTGGAAGTCCTTGGAGATCTCCACAAGGCCGTGCTGAGGGAGCAGGTTCAGTGTCAGAAATCTGCCCGGAGTGAACTGAGGGAGTGCGGAAGGGTGTGTAGACTCTTCTTTTGACAAGCTTGACTGTGAATGAGAGCAGAAGGACAAAGAGCTGAGGGAGGGTTTTCTTCCACAAAGGGAGACAACGCATTTAGATCTGAGAGAGAGAGAGAGAGAGAGAGAGAGAGAGAGAGGAGAGAAGTGCAAGGGCAGGGCCGTGAACCCCTGGAATTAGGTTCCGAGCAACCCACCACCCACTGTCACAGGAGGGAGGGGGAAGCTGGTGCAGATGAGGCTGCTGGAAGGCTTGGAGGCCAGTGCCCATCTGATGGCTGTTCCTCCCTCTTCTTGGGGCAGGACACTTGGTCATCAGATGCCCAGGAGGGGAGGTCATGTAGGAAAGCTGAGGAGACTGAAGCTGGCTTGAAAGAGTCGTGGAGAATGGGAGGGTGAGCTTGTTGAAGACTGTCACCTCCCCGTCACCACTTCGTGAACACATGTTCTAATACTATTTTCAACTCTGCAGCCCTGACTGTTCTTTGATGTTGCAGGAGAGCTCCAGATGAGGAAGCCATGAAGTAAGGCATCCCTGCGCTCAAGCTGGAAGTCCCTGAGACACTGAAGAGAGGGGACCCATCTCCCTCAGAGCTGGAGGCCATCTCTAAATAAGAGTCAGGGTCAGAAGGACCCGAGACAAGGACCCAGGAGTGTGGGAAAATGCCTTCATTCTGCAGAGAAGACATTGAACGGTAAAGTACCCATGATGTTAGGCTTGATTCAATAGTTCAGCGATTTGCTTTCTGTTAATTTCACAAATAACCATTTTTACTATATTCTCTTTTTCCGTCAAGTGAGTATTTATATAATATTGGCAGAAGACAAAAAGGTGGCTGATATTTTTTGGTTAACTACTAGTACTTATTTCCCGATTTTGCTTTATTGCTTAAGAAAATTAACCTTAACTTCAATATTTTTCATTACCTCTCCTTTTAAAGGTTTCTCAACCCCTCACCGGCTGTCTGTCCCCAGGCTAGCATTGCCCAGAGAAGCACAGGGCTACAATGTTAACGATAAAAATAGCCACCAGCTTGATCTGCGGAGTATCTGCCGCATATCTGCCTTGCCCTTTCTAAGCCATGGCTCCAGTCTGCCTGACTGGAGCTTCATACAGGCTCCTGCTCTGTGAGGTTGGCAAGACAGAGTGGTGGTTTTCAAATTTTTTTCCTTTTAATCCCCATTTAACAGACAAAGAAGCTGGGGGTCCTGGAGGAGATGTGATTTGCAAAGACCACCCAGCTTGTTAAGAGTCAGAGTTTCAACTAGAGCCCATCATCTCTGGCTCCCAATGTTGGGGTCTGAGGGATGAGAGGCTGGGGACTCTGGCGGTGACGGACAGGACACCAGGATGAGAGCTGTCTCCAGGGCACACAGGCGACTCCTTGGGCGCCCTCTCCTGGTGTCCGGTGTATGAACAGGATGTCTTCTCCAAAGACAGCAGCGCTCTCAGGGCAGAAAACTGCGGAAAGCACCTCTGATGCCAGAGAAAACTAGAGGCCTGCCAAGCTCGGGCCTCTGCTTAGACGGCTCCAGGCCAGAACAGAACTTGGCTTTTACTGAGCCATGAGCAAAGGGCCAAAGAAAACAATTAAGAAACCCCCACCCCTAGAAGCCAGCCCCCTGCCCCCAGCCCCTCTGCAGATGGCTCTAGTGACTCACTCCTCCCCAGGGTGCGGCCTTGGAGGAAACGGCCCAGGAGTGCATAGGAGGAGTTCTGTATTGACGGACTTCAGGCAGGTCCTGGTCTCCAGGAAGGAAAAACACCACTGAAATCATCACGGTTGGCAACCGTGCTGCTCCCCAGGGTCCGGGGGCATCTGGTGAGTGGTGTGCAGGAAGGGGTGAGGGAAGGGGTGCAGGTTCGGCTGCACTGGGGAGCCAGCTTCCCAGCCATGTCTGGACAAGGACAGAGCTGGACCCAAAGGGGCCTGTCTGCTGCTACAAGCACAAGCTCGTGGACCATCGACCACCACAGGCCAGGAGCATTTAACCTATCACATCCACAGGTGTGGTACTGTGGAGACAATCGTTAGATTTTGCCTGCCCCAGGCTAACATTCTTAAGGATTGTCATTTTGGACTTCTTACCAACAGAAAAGTCTGAGGCCTGATTCTCCTCTGTATGAAACGCCATCTTTGCTGCAAATAACACACAACGTAATGATGCAAACAAGGAAACAATGAGGACGTGCAAACCCATGCTCTCTTATTGCCAGAGCCCACCAAACCTGTCCCAGACGTCAAAATGTTACCTAAACGCACGTTTTGCCTCTCGCTGTTGGCACAGCCAGGAAAGAAGAACAACGGTGCCAGCAGGGCGGGCGCCCTAGAGGCTTCCAGGTGGTCAGTTTCCGGCTTGAGGGATGGGAGTCCAGGGATGGAGCTCTTGGGATGCAGAGCACTGTGGCTGGAAGTTAAGGCTCTGTCCACATTTACTGGGGCAGCTGGGGACAGACTCTCTACAGTGCCCAGCACAGGTCCAGGAATTCACTCATTTCTCCCTTGGTTCACGCATTCATTCATCTGCCGTCCTGCAGGCATGTGCCAATGGCCCTCTTGTGCCCAATACAGAGCCGGGCTCCTGGGTAGATTCAGAGAGTAATGAGACACTCCTTGCCTTGAGTAACTACTTGTGGCAACACAATGCAAAACAGGCCACAGAGCTGTGCTGCGGGAACACACGGAGCACCTCCCGCCCCTGGCCTCCAGGCCACTCTGCCAGAATCTCTGCTCCCTCACTTCATTCAGGCCTCGGATCAAATTCCTCTGCCCTGGAGGCCTTCCCTGGCCGCACCCCAATCCCTCCCTGTCCCCTGACCCAGCCTTATGTTTCTTCAAGGCGCTTACCTCCTCCTGATCTCACATGTATCAACTGTCTTGCCCAGAATGTCAATTTCATGGAGGCAGAGACCTTGTCCTGCTCTCTTCGGAGTTCTCAGCTCCTATACAGGGCTTGGCACAGACGCTGCGAAGTAAATATTTGCCGAGAGAAGGAAAGGAAGGAGGGAGGGAAACTGCTGTGACTCACCAAACGTGATAGATCTGAGAGGGCTTCCAGGTGGAGGTGGCCAGGACTTACAGTAGGATTTTCCCCAGGTCGAAAAGGGAGGCCCAGGCAACCAGGCAAAGGGAGTGGCACCTACAGAGTTAAGGAGGCTGGAAGGAGGGGAGGCCAGAGAGGTAGTTGGGGATAACTCCTGAAGGGCCTTGAGGCCGCAAAGGGGTCAGGGCCTTGACCTTGGGCTGTAGGGAATGGGCCAGAGTAGTTAAACAGAGGACAAGGAAGGGCAGGGTGTGCTGTGCTGGAGCCGGGAGAAATGGAGGACAGCTTGACGGCCAGGGACTACTTGACTCGCAGCTTTCAGATTGTGCCAGCAAAGCAGGGAGGCAAGTTCCGGGGGGCCAGAGGGTCCCTAAGTGCAGCCCGGGTGGGGCCTGGGAGGCTTCATGGAGGAGGTGAGCCCTGCGCAGGGCTCTGGAGGCCACACCAGGGCGGCAGGAAGGGGGAAGAGAGGGCAGGGTGCCAGGGCCAGCCCTCAGCGGCTGACAGCGCCCACTCCGCCCACCTCTGCCTCCCCCCCCCCCCCCCCAACACCCCCACCCTCCCCCCCACCCCCCGGGTGGACTTAGGCTAATTATCCAGCCAGGAAACGCTTACGTGGACAAGGCCGAGTCTCCCAACAGCCCCCATCCCTGCCTGGGGCAGCCTTGAGTCTCCTCTGCCCACCCTCGTCGCCTGGTGCCAGCCCAAGGCCGGGGACTTGCCCCAGACACCTCTCAGCCCCTCACCCTGCTCTGGACCTCCTTGGCTCCCCGCTGCACCCCTGCAAACCCCTCCCCCTCCCCCCTGCATCCCCACCCCACCCTTGGAGGAGGCTTGGGCTTTGGGTGTCTCTGGGATAAGGGGGCCTGGGGGTAAGGGGTGCCGGAGCTGGGTCTCCTCCCGACTTCTGTCTTTCGTGGGCCCCCTGGGCTCCACTGCCCTCTCCACCCCTCCTTCCCACCCACACACAGGGGAGGAGGGCAAGATGCACCCCACATAGGGGCCCCCTCAGGACCCACCAGCAAGCCCACGCCAGGCCTTGAGGAGGGAGACAAACTGAAAATCAGCACGTCCAGAGATGCCCCCCACCCTGCCTGGGGGTAAGGGAGACACATCATACTTACACAGCACTGCTCGTTATAGCTCTAAAGTCACTTTCTGGTGCAAAAACATAAAAAATGTATTATGTATGACTTGGTATCACGTTTGATATATTTACGTAATTTTTCAGAAAAGAAAACTAGCAAAACCTCTCTGGGAAAAGAAATCCCCATTTCCCCCAAACTTTCAAGTTATTTTCGTGCCTTCCTGGCTCTGCTCTGGGGAGGGAGAGGTGACGACTCCACACCCACCGGGATCCCACCACCGGGAGAGGCGAGCGTGCAGCTAGCTCTTCCCCGGGTGCGCAGCCCGCCAGGGGTGTCAAATTGATTAACTTCCTCATGGTAGTGAGCTCCCTCATGTTTTCCTTTGCAGTGTCTCGGCTCTAAACGATCGTGACCCAAGGCAATTTACAGTTACTTCCATTTTTTTTTAATGAAGTCTGATTTAATCGTTGGAATGGTTAATGGCCTCGTCTGTCACACATAATAAAACAGAGCCTAATTGCATTTTAAAAAGGCCCTTTTGGTATGAACAGAAGAAACAACTTGATTGCCTTGTGAGAGAGGGCTTTGCTGGGCGCTAAGATGGCTTCCCAAGGGCACCAATTTCTCCCTGGGTCGCCATTTCACTCTCCCCAACTGTTCTTTCTTCTAAAGGAATTTCCTAATTCCTCAGCCAGTTAAAACCCTTGGCTGTCCTGCCAGCATCCTCAGGCTCCCAGGGTTTTACACACCCTTGCGTGGTTACAGCCCTCCAGGCCCTCCCATGGAAGCAAATTGCCCGACACCCATTTCATACCTGGGAAAACTGAGACTGGCTTGCCCTACTTGTCCAGTGCCCCAGGGCGGTGAGTCAGTGCCTCTCTGATAGGCGCTGTCGTCACCGCCAACCACTGACCATCCCCACCCAGCCAGACAGCCCACAATGTGCTCCACCCCTGTGGCAGGATAGGGCCCTTGTTAACAGGTCTGTGTCCTGTCCTCTCAGAGTCACTGTGATTGAGCACTGAATCCAAAACGCAGGGGGAAACTGAGGCAAGGACCAGTGATTCACCCAAGAGCCTAGAGCTTGTTCAAAGGGACCTGAGGTTAAATTTTGGTCATTGAGCAAATAACAAACTTGCCTCCTATAAAATACGAAAGTCGGGCCCTTCCTATAGGAGAACCTGGGAAAGCCTACAGAAGCCTGGCTGGGGCCTGCCCCCTCCCGTGCCCTGACTCTCCTGCTCTCCTTTCCTCCCCAGCCTCTGTCCAGGGCACCGCCTACCCCTGCCCCAGCGCTCCTTGAGCGAGCCCACCCCGGAGCCTTCAGCAAGGTTTACCAGTTGGCCTAGTAGGTGTCACAGGGGAGGCTCAGGTGGCCTAGCTAACACCAGACTGAAGGCCTAGTAGTCCTCGCCCTGGGAGGGAGGGAGATCTAAAACAGAACCATGGCCGTGGTGTCATGAGCCATGTGACCTTGAGAGCGGGCTCCGTCTGTGGAACACATCCTCACTTGTCACGTGGGGGCATCTCCATGCCCCTTCCTTCAGGAGGCGCTTTGCTGAGGGCGGATGGGGGTGCCAGGAAGGCCCACAGAGCCCACCTGGAGGGAGGCCAGAGTCCTGTGGAAGAAGTGCCCGGCCAGGGGTGTGGCTCGGCCCAGCCAAGCTGTGCACCCTGCAAGCTTGGGAAATGGGGCCTGTCTGCACACTCCTGCCCTTCGTCATGTAGCCTCTTTTAAGTGCCAGTGCCTGAGCGGAGGCTGAGAAGCAAAGAGCGTGCGGGCTCTTGGCCAGCGTCTTGGACTGGAGGGGGGCAGCTGGGAGAGGCATCCAGTCGTAACTGCTGCTTCCTTCCTGAGCTCGGCCGGGAAGGGGGCCCGCAGGCTGGGGCCAGAACTTGCAGATCGTCTCTGGGGGCAGAGCCCATGGCTGTGCAGGCCCACTTGTCTTCTCTAACAAGGAAAAGGTGGTTGGGGGAATGGGGAGCCTTCTAGCCCCTTGCAGTACGGTACAGGGAGAGGTGGGCTTAGAGTCGAAGGACCAGGTTCCAGCCTGCCCAGCTTCCAAAATGTGTGATTTGATCCCTGTCCTTGTCTGGAATAGACAGCCAGTGATCAGGACCTAGAGGGTGTGGGCAGACCACATAGGACAATACTCACCCAAGCGCATGGAGAATCTGTAAGAAGCAGAAAGCCTACCCTCCCAAAGGGCAAAATGGGAGGGAACTTGTGTTCTTATTCTCTCTCTCTCTCCCTCCAGTCAGCTTCAATCTGAAAAGGACAAAACAAAAGCAGGTACCTAGAATAGCTGTGGCAGAGGCTCTGCTGGAAAGAAAAATTAAAATGAGCCCTTGTAGAAAGAAAACTCAGTGGCTCTCATTGTTGTCAGAAGCTCCGCCTGGACACGGGGGCACGTTCTCCCCAGAGATCTGAGAGGAAGCATTTTGTCCTGACTGCCTCTGGCCACCCTCTCGTAACTATCAGGGGAGGACCCTCAGGATGAATCTAGCATCTCCCTTACCTCTCTCCTTGTCCAGCTCAGGCTTCATTAAACACACACTCAGTGTCCTGTCCCTTGCTCCCTCTGTCATGCCTCTCTAGCAAAACCCCAGTGCTTGTTAAACCAAGAGTCCATCCTCTCTGGACCTGAACTCAGGAAAGGGAATATAGTTGGAGAAAAGCATGCTGTATCAGTCAGCATAGGTTATGCTGCAGTAACAAACAACCCCAGGTCTCAGGGGCACCACTCCAAGGCCAACAGAGAGGAGGTTCACTGCAAGTCGGTGTGGCTCTGATCGCCAGCAGCATGTGACACAGACAATCATTCTGTCTTCCCTGAAATTTGCTCTCAGGGACAACGTTTTCCCTTTGTTCTCCTCCTACTTCACTGGTCATTTCCTGTCAATCTCCTTTACTACTTTCAACTCATCTTTCCAACCCTTAAACTTTGGAGAATCTGGGGATTAATCCTGATACCTCCTTCCTGCCCACACCCACTTCCTCAGTGGGCTCATCAGGCACACAGCATTGAGCACCACCTGTGTCCCAATGTCTCCACTTACATCTTTGCCCAATCATTGTCCCTAAATTTCAGATTTGAACATTCAGCTGCCAAATCAACAGCTCCACTTGCACAAGTAAAAGGTGTCCAAAACTAAACTCTTAATTTTAACCCCCAAACCTACTACCACTGACCCCCAGTCTCCCGTCCCAGTTATTGGCAACTCCATTCTTCGAGCCATTCAAGTCAAAAACCTTGAATAACCCTTGACTCCACAGCCAATTCATCAGCAAACCCTGTTCGCCCCACCTTCAACATACATACAGAATCTGAAAATCTCTCATCATTTCTGCTACCACCCCGATCCAAGACAACCATCCTCTCTCACCTGGACGATTATTGCCAGAGCCCTCTAACTGGGCTCTCTGCTTCTGCCCCTACCCTCTTCCAGGATGGAGTGATTCTTTAAGACTAAGTTAAATCAAGGCACTCCTCTTCTCAAAATCCTCCAAGAGTTTCCATTGCAGAGTAAAATCCAGTGTGCTCACCACGGCCTATGAAGGCCTATGTGACCCGGCCCACTGCTGCTACCTCTATGTCCTCATCTCCCTCCATGACTGTGTCCCCAAACTCACCAAGCCACTTTCACATCAGGCCTTTGTACTCGCTCTTCCCTCCACCTGGAATGTTCTTCTCCCAGAGACCCACATGGTTTGCTTCCACGGGTCTCTGCTCAAATGTCATTTATCAGAGAGGTCTTCCCTGACCTTCTATATAAAATAGGATCCAATTTCTGACACTTTACATTCCCTTGTCCAGCTTGATTTAGTTTCGTATTATTTTTCATCACGTGCACTTTTTTGTTTCTCTCTCCAAAATAGAATGTAAATACCAAGAGAAGCGATTTTATTTGTTTTGTTCATTGAGGTAGCTCCAGCCCCTAGAGCAGTGCCTGGCATGAGGCAGGCACCCAATACATATTTGCTGAATGAATGAATGTGTGGCTGAACTAAAGGGGGAGGTAGCAGAGCACAGAGGCAGGAAGTAACTCACTCCCTTGCAACACAGGGAAAACACTATGTTAGACATGTATTTTGTGACACATTAAGCTTCTTCACTATTTAGGCTATTTTCAATTGAGTTTCTGTTCTTTTCAGCCAAGAGTATCCTAAATGAATCATTGCCATTCAGGCTGATTGGCTGGGAGCAAAAGTGCACAGGCCCCAGTAGGAGACTCCTGCCAGCTGTCCTTCCACAGCAGTGTGGGGTCAGGGAGCTGCCCCTTCTGATCTGGCTTCCTGGGCCTCCCCCGCAGGTTTACATCTAATGTGGTGGGACAGTGCCTCAGAATATACCACCAAGCTGGCAGTGCACCACAAAACCTATGGCCACCCATGCCTCTGGGTCCCTGGGTAAGGAGCTCAGAGAGAGGGAAAAGGTCACAACAGAACTCCGGTACTTTGCCCTGAACATCTAAGAGCAGGCCCCTCAGCCCTGCCTATTCTATTGTAGGGACCAGGTCAGTGCCAGCCTCCCCTGGAGAGAGATGGAGGGAGAATCTGGTAGTAACGTGCCATTGTTATGAGCCAAGCATGCTACGTGCATTTTACCTAGAAGGGAGGCTGCTACAGAGTGCTGTTTAACTCCTAACATCTATCCCTCTTTTTTTCCATTGTTAAGCTTCTCTTAAACTCACTCTGATTAGCCTTTCACCCCCATTGCTTCACTAAATCAGCTCCTGTCGACATTATCAATGACCTCCAGGATGCCAAACCCAGCAATGACTTCTCAGTCCTCCTCCAAATTGGCCTGTCAGCATCAGCAGTATGTGACAGTCTGACCCTTCCCCAAAACACCACACTCACCTGGTTTTCCTTCTTCCTTTCTGGCTGTTCCCCCTCAGTCTCCTTTGTTGGCTCCTCCTCAGTTTCTTATCCTCTTGATATAGGAGTACCCAGAAGCAATTCTGTCTCTGTCCATAACCACTTCCTTGGAGATCTCATCCCATGACTTTGTATTTACTCACTGCTATGGACTGATGTTCCCCCTGCAAATCCACATGTTGAAGCCCTAATCTCCAGTGTGATGGTATCTGGAGGTGGGACCTTTGGGAGGAGATTAGGTCATGAGGGTGGAGCCCTCAAGACGGGATTAGTGCTCTTATAAGAAGAGGAAGAGACCAGAGCCCTCTCTCACTCTACCTTTAGAGGATAGAACAATAAGGTGGGCATCTGCAAGCCAGGGAGAGAGCTCTCACTAGAACTTAATCCTTCTGGCATCTTGGCCTTGGACTTTCCAGTCTCCAGATCTGTGCAAAATAAGTTTCTGTTGTTTAAGCCACCAAGATTATGGCATTTTGTTACAGCAGCCCAAGCTGGCTAAGACACCCTCATACTTACCAGTTCCAATGTTCTTCATCCCTTTCTACCTGATATCACTTCCTTTCAGCCTGAAGAACTTCATTGAGCATCTTTTCTTGTGTGAGTCTGCTGGAAACAAATTCACTAGGCTTTTGTTTATCTGAAAATGTCTTTATTCCACATTTGGTTTTGATATATATTTTTGCAGGACATAGAATTCTATGTTGACATCTTTTTTCTTTCAGCACTTCAAAGATTTACTTATCGTCCATTAACTTTTATTTTTCTGAGGAGTCGGCCATCATTCTCACTGTTTTGCCCCTATATGTAAGTCTTTTTCCTCTTGCTGCTTTTAATATTTTTAAATATTTTTTCTTTATCTTTGGTATGCTGGTTTAGCAGTTTAACTATGTGTAATTAGTACTGGATTTCTTTGTATTTATCCTGCTTAGGATTCACTGATATCCCTAGACCTGTGGGTTGCTGTTTTTGAGGAAACTTGGAAATTTTTGGCTAATATTTCTTCAGATATTTTTCTCTCCTATTCTCCCTCTTTTCCTTCTGGAATTCCAGTTACATGCAGGCCACAATTTCTGATACAAGTCATTGAGGCTCTATCCATTTTTTCCCAATATCTTTTCCTCTGGGTGCTTCATTTGGAAGATGACTTGTCTTCAGGCTCACTGATGCAGTCTTTTGTTGTAACCAATCCTCTGATTTTTTTAATATAATGTATCCTCCAGTTCTAGGGTTCCCATTTAGTTCTCTTTTAGAGTTTCCATATTCCTCCTGAACTGTCCTATCTTTTTACCAATTAATCCATCATTCCTATTGATTCTTTAAAAGACCTTATCAAATTTATTTTAGAGTTCTTTTCTGCTGATTGCAACATCTGTGTTATCTGTGTCTGCTTCTGTTGACTGATTTTTCTTTGACTACGATCCGCATTTTCCTGTTTCTTTGAATTTGTTTTGTAAGTTTGGACTGTATATAGGATATTATAGATGATTTCTTATAGAGACTCTAGATTCTGTTATCTTCCTCTGAAGGGTACTGTGTGTTGCTCTGACAAACTGTTAAGTAACTGACAGATCATCTTAATCCTGAGGTGGCTTAACTTTACGTTCTGTTATGGTGAGTCTCTTTCAGTTTTGTCCTTAGTTGTAGGGTGAGTCCCTGAGTCCTGGGATGTGTCTTTACTTATGAAAGGTGGGCTTTCTGGAGTTTCAGTGGGAAGCCTGACACCAAGCCCCTGTACGTTGGAAGCACTGGAGATGCAGTGGGAAGCTGCAACCTCTGCTCAGTTCTATCAGTCTTCCAGTTGCTTTTTTCCTCTGGGCACCTTGGAGTTTTGATCCCCACATGCCTAGTTAAGGAGTTAAGCAAGGATTCAAGAAGAGTTTATACACAGATTATGGGGATGGGCCAAGCCTGGTGCATTTGAGAAGGAACCAGAGGGCCTGGAAGACTAGAGCAGAGTGAATCGGAGGAGAGAAGTGGGAGATAAAGTCGAAGAGGTAGCAGGGCCAGGTCTGGAGTACCTACTGGGCCATGCTCCAAGAGTTGGGATTCAAAGAATGATGAGAAAACAGTGATGGTCTTGAGCACAGGAGTGACATAATCTGATTTACCTTTTAAAAAGATCAAATCCTCTTACTATTTTTCACCTTCCAGATGGAAAAGGTTGAACAAGTTTGATTAATAGATTGGGTTGGGCTTCCCTGGTGGCGCAGTGGTTGAGAGTCTGCCTGCCGATGCAGGGGACACGGGTTCGTGCCCCGGTCCGGGAAGATCCCACATGGTGCGGAGCAGCTAGGCCCATGAGCCATGGCCGCTGAGCCTGCGCGTCCGGAGCCTGTGCTCCACAACGGGAGAGGCCACAACAGTGAGAGGCCCACATACCGCAAAAAAAAAAAAAAAAAAAAAAAAAAAAATCCTTAAAATAGATTGGGTTGATGAGGGTATGTGGCAAAAGGCACGTTCTCATTCATACCTAGTGGTAGTGTACACTGATAGAAATGTTATAGAAGGTAACTGCAATAAATCAAAATTGCAAATGGAATTAGATTCAGCAAGTCTACCACTGAGAACTTATCCTACAGATATACTGTATTTGTGTAAAATGACATAAGTACAATGTTACTCATTGCAACATAGTGTAAAACACTGGCAACAATCTAAATGCCTACCAGCGGGCATTAAATATATTACGGTGTATCCATACAGTGGAATATTATGCAGTTGTTAAAAAAGAAATGAGACTGTTCTTTGCTAATATGGAATAATTTCCAAGAAATAATAAGTGACAAGATTAATTTACAGAGCAGTGGATCTAGTATATTTACATTTAAAATGGGAACTATAGGTGATCATGAACTATACCTTAGGAGGATATAAAAGAAGCTGGTAATACTGACTACCTCTTAGAAAGAAGAAAGAAACCTCAACGTCCACCCTGTTAGACTTTTTCAATTTTATACTATATCAATCTATTTCCTATTCAAAAAGAAAATGAAAATAAGAACACCATTCTGGCTTCTACTGGAAAAGAGCAGAAACTGAGAGACCAGTTGGAAGGTGGGGGGCTGTGTGGTCCTTCACAGAGAACTGGTGGTGCCTGAGCTCAGGTGGCAGTGGGGGAACTAGAACATCTTCCAGGCCATTGAAGCCCCTTCTTTTCCAGAACCTCTGTGTGTTACTTTCTCTCAGAGGATTTTTCTGAAGAAGAAATCTTCCCAGTAAAATCCCCTCGTCAGGCCCAGAGAAGAGAAGGGCCTTGCCCAGACCACATAACTAGGTGGTGGTGAGTAGATATGAGATCTTAGGTCTTTTGAGTCCCAATCCAGTGCTGACTCAGTTCTAATTACTAGAGTCTTGAAACCAAACCCCACCTGCCTCCTGCCCCACTCTCAAGCCACCACCTTTTCCATGCCCCACCTGTGAACCCACCTGCCTCCTGCCCCGCTCTCAAGCTACCACCTTTTCTGTGCCCCACCTGTGAACCCACAGGTGGCAGCAGCACAGGTTCTGTGGCTTCTGGGGTCTTTTCTCTCTTTAGCCTTCCTTCTTGCCTGATGCCACCTCTGCCATGGAACTCAGTTATTCTCACCCTCCTACTCTCCCTACACACACACACGTGCACACTCGTGGGGCTAAGCTGTTTCAAGGACCACCACTGCAGTTCCTACCCCAGGAAGACCCTTCAGACCTCCGGCTTCTCTCACATACACCCACCAGCATCCTCTCCCACCCATCAGGCTCAAAACTTGCCCGTCCTAGGTTCCCGCCCCTTTGAATCCTTTTTCTAACTGATCTAATTAATAACAATTCTACCTGCCATTGGTAACAGTGTGTTTCTTTCATCACTGCCCTGGGTGAGAGGCCTAAGGGGCAGGCATTTCAGGCTGCTTCCGTTCAGATCCACTGAGCACAGGGCTAGGGTGTTCCCTACCACACGACCACGACCCCTCCATGTGCCCAGGACGGGACCCAGGCCCCTAAATCCTGTGCTGGCTTTATGCTCCCCATTCTACTTCTTATTCTAACATTCAAACTGAGAAGTCAATGGATTAATCCTGCACCGGTTCATAAACATTTGCATGTGAGCCAGAGACTCTGGGAGCCACTAACGAGAACAACTAAATATGGAATGACAGCCACTTGGCAGGCAGGCTGGGGTATTTTTCTGGGATAGGTCTTCACCCAATTCCAAAGAGACTGGACACAACATCTCTCCATTCTTTCCCTGGAACATTGCTGGGCTTTAAGGGGTCTCTGGCTTTGTCCTCTGGAAGCCTTCCTGTACAGACCCTGTGTTGTTCATGTACGCTCAACCCTTTGGCTCCATGACACCACATAGCAACTATGAAGAAAATAGAGTGGACAGGCTTCAGTGTAGGCAAGTAGGAAGCCACAGACCTCAAAGAGGAAATAACTCCTGTGTGCTCCCAGGGACCTGGCTCTGGGTGCTAATGCCAACTTCCTCTGTTCAGAGCTTTACACAGTGTGCCCACAAAGTAACATAGGCAACTGTACATCATAAATGCTTTACTGATAATTCAACACACACTGTGCTCAGTGCCATCCCCTGATATGTTTAATGTGCCTATCATTATCAATGCATGGTTCAACGTGCTGTGCAAAATCACAACCAAACCGGCGCACTAATGCGACGTTTCCATCCAGCCCTCATGATGAGTCTGGGATACATCATGTCACACACTTTTCTCTGGTTTTCACTGAATAAATCTGTGCCTATAGCACACTCAGAAGAGGTAATCTCAAGAGGGCTCAATCGGGAAAAATAAATGAATGAATAACATTATCTACATTTTAAAACTTTATGGCCCCTCTCTAGTTTGTGAAGCACTTTTGCAATCATTGTTTGTTACCCACAGCTTTCCTCCCCTACCAGTTACAGCCCGGGAAGAGAACCTAAGAGTCACAGAGACAGTGCCCTGAAGACATCAAAGAGCATCAAAGACCCCAGAGGGCCCTTCGGTCCATTGCTTCTTCTTCTTCTGTACAAAATCATGTGCCCTCCACCCCGAACCTGGAGGCTGCTCTGATCACTACCTACCCCACCTCCTCAAGGGAGATGGAACCACAGAGCAGAAGGCTCAGCGGAGCAGTGGACATAACTAAGGAGACGGGGGAAGGGGCTGCTACAGGAGGACAGCTCGGAAAACTCAGATTCTGACCCTCCTTCTTTCCCATGGCAAACAGGAATCAAACTACCACAGATGGTGTTGAAGAGGGTAAGCAGAGCCAGGCAGCTTCTGGTTCAAATCCCAGGTCTAAAAGTAAGTGACCTCGGGTGAGTTAGCTGGGCTGAGCTGTTTCCTCACTGGGAAAACAAGGACAACCTTGTGTGCTACAATCACCCTTTACATTTGAGTGCACAGCTCTGTAGAGACGCAAATTAGAAGACAGAGCCCCTGCCCTCATGGAGCGCTGGAAATGTGACTATAAAGTACAGTAGTCCCCCCTTATCAGCAGGGGATACATTCCAAGAACCCCAGTGGATGCTTGGAACAGCATATAGTACCGAACCCCATATACACTAAATTTTTTCCTATATAAACATACCCATGATAAAGTTTAATTTATGAATTAGGTACAGTAAGAGAATTGCTAGCATCACTTCTCTTGTGCTTTGGGGCCATTAAGTAAAATAAGTGTTACTTAAACACAAGCCCTGCCATACTGCAACAGTTGATCTGATAATCTAACCCGCTACTAAGTGACGAAACAATGGGATACACTGAATATATAGGATGGAGCTGGACAGTGCCAGATTTCATCAAGCTACTCAGAACAGGCGCAATTTAAAACTTATGAATTGCTTATTTCCAGAATTTTCCATTTAATATTTTCGGACCGTGGCTGACATGGTTAATTGAAACCATAGTAAGCAAAACTGCAGAAAAGGGAGGACCACTGTAATGTAAATATTCTTACATCAGTGGATCTGTTATGTTCCGATGAGAGATGCCCTTTAAAGTAGAGAGAGGCAACTCGGCATCACAGCTAAGAGCTCAGGCTCTGCCTCCAGAGGCCTGGACTCAAATCCCACCCAACCACTCACCGGCTGAGTGGCCTGGGCAAGACACTGACCTGTGTGTGCTTCAGTTTTGCCATCTGTGAAATGGGGATGTTACTAGGAGGGTTGTAAGGATTTCCGTGAGCCTTGCTTTGCTGGAAATATTTCTGGACTTTAAGAATAGATATCAGAGTTAATGTACAAACAGCAGAGAAAAGCACTCCCATTGTTTCTGTTCCACCTTTATTGCTCAACAGCCCCTTACCTGGTAATCAACTGAATAATTTGGGTTGCTTCCAACAATTTGCCCACTGACCTCACCATAGTAAAGAACTACTAAAGGTGTCGCAGGTAGAGCTCAAGGAAGAATTCTCAGTAAAGTTCTCAACAATAGCATTACAGGAACAAGTCTGTCCTCCAGCATCTTTGTGGGAGTTGGTGGTCAGTGGGAGGGAGAAGCTTTGCGCTGTCATGGAAACAGGCAGTCTCTACACAGCAGGTCAGGCCTGAAGCTTCTCTAGTCACCCCCACCCGCCCCTTCCTTTTATTCAGTTCCCTAAAGCATAAGGCAGATGTCAGTTGGTGTAAAGGGATGTCAGTTTTCCAGGCCAGAAGCAGGCAGTGTTGGGCGGTAGGGGATGGGAGGGACACACTTCACTCTGGAAACTGAACCAGGAAGAGGTTAAGAAACCCACAGGGGATTTTAAAGTAGACTAGCCAGTCTAGATATGTGCTCTTATGAAGAATGGCCAAACCTGGCCCCCCTTCCCAGGGGGCTAAAGAGGACCCAGAACCAGAAAGATAATTAAGCACTCTTGAGTCTGTGCCAGGTCTCCCAGACCTCCAGGTCTAGGTCAGAGCTCAAAAATGGGGCAGTGACTCCAATCTTCTAAGAGCTTTGTTGGATGACATCCAACATTCAGCCTTGTCTGTCTGTAACTCTCTTTAAATCTTCTGAGGTTCCCCCATACCAAGCACTCCTCTGCCCCTCTCCTTACCTGATGATTAAGTAGTGAAGGAGATCTCATTTTTTCCCACCACATACCTGTTATTTGGGTGGAGTTTTCTTCTTAATTCTCAACCCAAAAGAACAAACTCCCTACTTCCTTTTGCTTCCTGGTCTGAGACGTACTTGGATATGGAGTGGAGTGGAGTTGATACAGAAT